TTGGTCCACTTTTTCCGGGCGTTGTTTGGGTTTCTGCCGGGCTCTTCACGAACCGCGTCCCGGCTCTTTGGTGTCTTGGTGGGTTGGTCCACTTTTTCTGGGTGTTGTTTGGGCCTCCGCCGGGCTCTTCACGGACCCGCGTCCCGGCTCTTTGGTGTCTTGGTTGCTTGGTCCACTTTTTCCGGGTGTTGTTTGGGTTTCTGCCGGGCTCTTCACGGGCCGCGCTCCGGCTCTTCGGTGTCTTGGTAGGTTGGTCCACTCTTTCCGGGTGTTGTTTGGGTTTCTGCTGGGCTCTTGACGGAGGTGGCGTCTGCTTTTGTCGGGTCGTGTTGTTTGCGTTGGTTTCTTTGTGCGGGGCTCGTGGTGGAGGTGGCGCCGGCTCTTTCTGGTCTGGGTTGCTTGGTCTGCTGTTGTCGGGTGTTGTTTGGGTCTCTGCTGGGCTCGTCACGGTTGGGACGTCGGCGGCTGGTGGTGTCTTGCTGGCGTGGTTCTGCCTCAGATGGCGTTGCTCAGGTGTGTGGGTGGCTCTTCACGGACCTCGCCGCGGCTTCCGCGCCCCAGGGGTGTCTTGGTTGCTTGGTTCCGTGTGGTGTGACATTGTTCGGGTGTCTGTCAGGTTTTCCACGGGCGGCTTCGGCGATGTCTGGGCTGGTGGGTTGGTTCCACTTGGTCGTGTCTTGGTTGGATGTCTGCGGGGTTCGTCATAGTGCTCGTCGCGGCTTAGGGCCGTCTCGGTGGCTGGGTCTTGGTGTTGTGAACGGGGTGAAGGGCAGGGGGGCGGGGAGTGTACTTGGGTGTGCGCGTGATGCTCATATACTGGGTATCACTGTGCAGAGGGGTTGGGTTCGGGTGGGGAGGCGTAGGGCGTAGTGGTTTCGGGTAGGGGGATCGGCGATGCGAGAAACTGCACTAGGATTTGGTAGCTCCCCCAATGCTTTGAGGATCAGTTAACGCGATGGATAGCTACCTATTACCATGCCTGATTGAAACAGGCCTGCAAGATCAGCGTGAATACTGTAGCTACAATATTTAATAGATACAATCTATATTTATGGGAAGCATCTGACGACCGGGGTGAGAGGGCATTGTCAATCGCGGCGGGCGAAGATCCTGCAGCAGAGACCATTCGCTTGTGGAGAGACAAGCAGGGGCGAGCGCGTATGTCTTTGTAAGTGTTCTCATTGCTTAAGGCTTTGGCTATGATCAATGTAGTTTTTATCCATTTCAAGCGATTTGCTGTCGTCTTATAAATAAGCCTCTGAGCAGATGAGGACTTCTACTGAGAAATCCGAAGGGTGGAATCAGTTGGCGTACTTATGCTCACTACAAAACGTTGCTCGTCAAGCTCTAACGCATCCAGTAGAGGCTCTTCTGGAGGCGAAGAAAAAAAGAAGGGCAGATCGATGGTTGAGAGTGCGGCTGTAGCTGAGTCAAGTTAGATCCGTGGGAAAGCGGGGAGGATGTTTCCTTTGCACGCAGCGGGTGCACCCAAAAGGAGGGCGCATGATAGAGGTAGGACTTGACAAAATGACTGGCACAAGTGTAGCAAGCCTCGTGGGCCAAGAAGCAATATAGAAGGTAGGGCGATGATGCATTTGATGATTGGCGTGTTTTCACTCTGCGTCATCATCATCGATAAGACGTCACCGTAAAGATCGTCGTTCAGAAATTGCACCGCTTGGGCGCTCCAACCTTGCTAAGAGACTTCTGCTTTGGGGATGTTCAAATTTCTTTGAGAGCATGTAGCGCGACTTCTTCGAGAAATCTGTCAAGGGTTCAAAAGTCGGATCTCAACATGTTGCGTCGAATATGTCACCTTCGGAAATCGATATCGGCCGAATCTGTGCAATAATTAAATACCATTTCCTAGATGATGACTCAAGAATGGTGATCCATCGGGCAAAAAAATGGGAAAACGTATAGTCTCGAATACAGCAATACTACGGAGTCGTAAAATCGTGACAGGATTCGCTGGTCTATCGGTAAGTTTGTCCTGCCCGTAGAGATAAGAAAGAGTCATAAAGACTGCGATTAACCGCGAAGGAAGTTCACCACTGAGGCACACAAAAATGGCAAAGTCGATGCTTCGTTCCCTGCGTTTGTCGTCTCGGTTGCGGAGCTTGAATCGTATGCGCATAGTGCTAGTAGATGATGTCTGATGTATGCCTTCTTCCTCTTCATAAACCCTTACTGTGACCTTGCCCAATTCAGATTAGGTTTTTTTTTGGAAGGAGAGCATTTATTCCAAGAAGGAAGGTCTTGCGGAAAGACATCGAGGATTTTTGAGACTTGGGTATATAAGAAGTAGTAGAGAATACTAACGCAACTACCTGCTTAACAAAGATTCGTTTTCTCCCTCATTGGGATATCTTCTCTTCACTACTTTCAGCGAGTAGAAAGTGTAACGTCATTGCCTTCAGATTACTCCTGGTATGGATTGCAAGAAAAAAGGTCTTTCGATGCTGAGCTGAAGACTGCGAGATATTTTAGAAGGAAAATAGATTTAAGATTTTTCAAGAGCTTTTCCCGCGGGGACTACCATCTATCAACTGTTGAAGCAACAAGTGCGCATATATTTGTACTAAAAAATAAATAATTTTGGTTGAAGATAATTGTAAGGAGAAGTGTGGCGTCTAAGGGTATTCCAGCGCTTTGTGGAGAAAGTTCCTGCAAGTAATTTATCATTGTGCACTAGCATCGGTAAAGTGAAGTTATATTACTAACACCGAGCTGAGATTGTAAGGCTGTACTTGAGTAACTCTCATCATTGAACAAGGGGCAAAAAAGAGGCAGCTTAGTTGTGTAATAGATAGAGGTAGACCGAGGGACCGAGAGTGTAGTACCATAGGTTACTGGATAAAAGTCTGAACTTGATGCGCTATTATTTTCTGTGGGTCGAATAAATCGCTGCTATCAGCGCCTTCTTGTAGTCGCTAGTATATTTCAGCATTAACTACACCCAACGTCGTGGCATGCAAGTGGATTCTCTAGTCAAGTAGAAGCTCACTAAAGAAAGTAGTACTAGTAGTAAGTATAAGTCTTCTCTAGAAGTAAACACTAAGTCCAAATAATTACTGAGCACTCAGCCTCAAGGCTGTTCTTATTTAATGCCGCGAGGAATCGCGCCGCAGCAGTACTACAACATGCCAAAGAATTTATTCAATAGCACGTCAAGAGGCGTAGCCTCGGGAAGGCTGTTCGAAGAGGCTTCTGGATCTGCAGCCTCTAAGGTGGAGCAGGAGGCTTCCCCAAAAGCGGAAAGTGTCCGCATCCTCTACGCCTCGTCACCCGGAAAGGGGACCCGTTAAGGCAACTCAATTTGTGAAATATAGCTAGCGCGTATTGAAGACTTCCTAGGAGGGGAGCTTGTCAGAGGTGTAATCAGTCCACTGATTCAGAATTCGCATCTATCCTCATTTCTCCGTCCTCTTTTCGTCTCTAAATTTTATTTGGATTAGAGGATGACCCGATTTTCACGCCCTCGCCGGCAAAAGCAAAAGTTCCTTATTCGGATGGGATCGCAAGCGGGTACTTATTGAAAGCGTTGCTGATTCGTGTTTTGGTGGTAGGCTAGGTGAAAGGGGTATGGGTACGAGGTCACAGTGACGGCACTATGCAGTAAGGGCTCTCTTTGAACTTCAAGTCTTGACTTTCCTCATAATTTACCCGTTGTCGTTTATGGTCATAGCTTCTTGTATTGCCAATCGACAGAAGGACTTTTATGATGTGAAAAACATCAGAGAAGATGCATCTCGGAGAGATTTTTCACAACAATGCAACTGAATCCAAACAAACAGGCTGCGGCTTTGTGTAGAGGACGGAAAGCATTTCGTTTACGGCTATTTTGAATTGTGACTGTGGCTTCCTCTGTGTTGAGTACGTGAGGACTTTTCATGAAGAAGTAAGACATTGCATGAAGGGAGGGAGGATGAGTGGAGGTATGCAACATGTTAAGTGGCTCTAATGTCGTATGCAACGCAAAGACGGAAAAGACAGCGTTTACATTGGTAAACAGGAGAAAAACGCAAAGTCTCCCGATCAAGTTTATGGCTCGTTGTCGCTTCTCTATGTCTAGCCCTGGAGGGTTAAGAGTGAAGAGTTTGCTGAGTAAAGCTAAAAATGTGGGTAAGGCTTGGGGGTTCCAGATTTCCTATGGTCAAGACAGCATACGGAAAAAGGTAACTGAAAGACTCTCTCTAAGCCTGCTTGTGGTCCGAAGGAGGTGGTGGCTCCAAGGCGAAGAGGATCAAGATCGATCACAATTATGGATATGGTATTCGGTTTTTCGTCAATGAAAAACATCATGAAGAATTATATGCAAAAAGCACACTGGCATGCGCAGGGGGTCGCGGATAGTCTCGGGGGTAGTGGTGATTTTATTTCATCTTGAAGTAAGTAGCATTGTTATGCATGGCGATCATCATCAGCGCTATAACCATGAAACGATTGCCGCCCACTTCGAAAAGCCCGTTCACATTGTTATGGCAAGAAGTAAATGCTAGTCTTTATGTCATTTTCGGGGTAGTTAATCTTTATGCCGACTTAGAGTCTTTGCGCGAGAAGAAACTGATAGAAATGAGATGAGATTAGGGGCCTGTAAGGAGGGCAAGCCTTCAGCCCAACCTCCACAAGGTTGAGTTAATATCTACTAGGTTCTAGTGGTGGCATGTAGAGCAAGAGCTCGGGGAAAGATCTTGGAAAGTGTCGGGTAATACCTGGTGGGTAACTAATGAAGGTGGACGAGAGGTATCTAAGAATTTTGATCCGGTGATCCGCGAAGAGGCGCTGCAAGAGCTAAATAAAAAAAAGGTGAAATTGGAGATCGAAGAGTCGATGAAAGCAGCGCGCGCCTTATGGTTGCATACTGTTGCTTCTGTTAGTACAAGAGCCTGGTAGTTTTGCAAGACCTCACACTGCTGTCAGCTGCATGGAAATGCAGGCACTTCAAGTTTTGAACAGTACACATACTTACGTCGGTGCGCTGCGATTTTACAGGGCTGCCTACAATGTAGCACATTGTTAGCAGTGTCGTAAATAGAATAAACAACAACTGATGGCACATGAGGATATAGTTCGGGTCTTTCCCGGTCACACGCAACAATCGCTCTAAGTTTCAAAGTCATAGCTGACGTGGAAAGCCTTGGGAAGAAAACGAAGCGTTTCGAGGAGCTGAAAAAGTTAAGGGCCATGTGCAAGAAGTGCCAGCTCTAGCTCAGTTGCGTACTTGCTTGAGGCTATCCATGCTATTACTTGACATATAGGATTATATCTTGTGTGGGGTGTTAGAATAAAAAGCAAAGATCGTAGCAAGCTAGTGAACTGTAAAGCATTGGGTTACTTAACTACAGTAGGCAAAGGCCGATCTAGATTTATGGCTTCTAAGAAAGCGCTATCGCCGTAACAAGCTTCGCGAAGTGGAAGAGCGTTCCGTTGGTACCTGCACGGAAGAGAAATACACAGGATTATGGCAAAGGGCCTTAGTTGTGATACATGCCCAGGCATGCCGAAGTGGTGGGTTGATAATAAAAGATGTAGACTGAGTGAATTTTATGAAGCTCAGAGTCGCTTCTAGAGAAATGGTTGTGGCAATTTATCATTTCTAATCATCTTGAACGTGCCGCCGCTGCCTGAACCAGCGAGGAAAATGAAAAGCAAAAAAAACAGCATCAGGGGATCGGTATTTATTTTTCTAGTCGAGTAAATATTTAGGGTGGGGCTGTTCCTTAGATAAGTTCCACCTAGAGTCCAAAGGGACGAGCATTTGTTCTCGCAGTGATCAATATCAGAGACGAATGCATAATTGTTGATTCAGGCTATCAGTATTATCACGTGCATAGCCATAGCATTGCAATAGAATGGCATGCCATGCAGCCTTTTCCTTTGAAAAAGAGTGGGGTATCTGATGCATTGTGGGCCTGCTCTGTGCCAAGCTACCACTCCATTTTTGATACAGGTGTCCTCGAGCGAGTGAACCAATCATGGCGGTGAAGCAGAAGCACTTCAAGTCCCCCGTTGCAGTGAGAATGAGGGACAACGAACTTTGTTTTGTTGATAAGCGAGCATGTTAATATAAAGTTGTAAAGTGCCTATGCAGATGTGAAGATAGCTGATCTACTAATTTCGCTGCTGTTGTGGCAATGAATGGGCACAGACATGAGCTACTTTTGATTTGGAGACCGGTAAAGAAAGTGCACCTGTATGACCTTGATTTTCAGATGCAAAAAATGAAGGGGCGCAGGAGCATGATAAGAAAGGGACATTGAGGGGATGTAACTCAGTTACACAAATTGGCTGCTTGATCTATCGTGGGCTATTAGGTGGTTCCTCGTGCCTTCGTCAGCCAATCATCGTCGTGGGGGTTAGAGCTCGAAGAGTGCTTGTTCTTCTTGTTCACATTCACTCTCTGTAATCGTCGTGGTGTGTGAGAGAGTGAGGCGTCTCTACCATCGGCAAAAGAAGGGAGTTTGTTCTTTGTTGCCTTTCCTTCGCGTACTCTCCTTGGTACCATTCAGAGAGAAAAAGCACAGAAATCAAATAGGCCGTAAAAATGGGTGGTAAAAAGCTTGAGACTCGAGAGACTCTACTTCCAAGAGAAAGGTTTTTTTTTTGGTCTTGTTTTACTCGAATACTAACAATGATGCGTCAGGCTGTTCTGGTTGAGGCTCGCTTGCACAAAAACTAGCGAAAGCAACGGCGACAGACGCACCCCAACAGACTTCCTACGGGCCAGTAGTGATCGTTTACCTATCCGTCGGGCCTTTGGTAGGCGTCATACCTGGCAGCGTAAAAAAGGGGTTCCGCGCAATGATGTTGGAGGCAAGTCGCGGCGCGTCTCGTTCCAGGTCACGAAGTCGGCGCCGGAAGAAGGATAAAAAAGAGTCTTATGTTGCAAGGGAGTGTTGTTGAATGGACTCAAGGAAGACGCGAGTAGAAATCAGCTAGGAGGGTGAATGGGCGTCGTGTCAATTATTTGTTAAACTCTTTTTAACGGAGATAAGTGCATGATCGCTGCGAGGATCATCATAGTACTCGGACTATTTATCATCCCTCCATCTATTCCCTGTCCTTACCATTTTCCGAGGAATCGTTCTGACTATCTATCTTTAGCCTAGAGATTTGGTATCTATCGATCTAATTTTCTGAAAGGTTGGAAATTGAAACGCTGGACAAGATGCCGACTTGCGCCAGAAAGCACAAGGCAGTTGAAGTGCTAAGAGAGGAGAGCAACAAGCTTCTGTTCATGGGGCTGAAGATAGCAAGGATTCGGCACGAGCCTCTCATTGTGTACACGGAGACAGACGGCAAAGAAGTCCGGGTGAGTGCGGAGAAGGCTAAGTTCGCGTCTGGTCAGCTGGTGAAGCCTAACCCTGAGTTAAGGCATTTGGTAAGTAGCATCTCCCTAAAACCGGCGTGATTCATCTGAGGATGGTGCGCGAGTCTTCAATGGGGAAATGAGGGGCTTTGCGATTAGGACTGTACAAGTTGAATCTAATCCAAGCTACACACGCGTTCCCGATTACATTGTCCTACAGCGTGTTTGCAGACTGGGGCCCTTATCGTGCTCGCACTTATCAGCAGGCAAGCGAAGGCGGAGAGAGTCACGCGTCGGCTAGCTCGAGCTTTGCGTGTACGGGTGGGAATGTTGTTCGCCTAGACGACCATAGGGGAAGCGGCGTCAATACTCTGGAGCCTCGAACGTCGCAATTCAATTTGCCACTGATTTGGTCAGGAGCTACGCACACAGCATTCGACATTTTTGTTATGTTCAAATTAGTAAGAGCAATTTAGTCTGATGAGCTACAGAGGGATAGCTCTGACTGCTTAGCCAGCGGCAGAAGCAAGGGCTAGCCGCGAATCTTACCGACGGCCGGGGGGTTCGGGGCGTTGTTATCAGGGGGGGCAGCGTGAGTGGATGGCTTCGACGTCGCAGGTGTGAGCGCGGGAGGCTTCGCGCGTGTCTGTGGATGCAGCTTGGGGTATCTGATAGGACTGGCAAGGCCCTCGGTGCCGCTAAATCTTGCGGGGGGCGGCTCTGCCAGGCAGTCAGGGGCAAGGGCAGGGGCGCGCCACTGCAGCGGACCCAATGGAAGGGGGGGGAGAGAATCACGCGGGGCCAAGGCTGAGCGAGGCTGGGAAGGTACGCAGTGGGCGCGCGGGGGCAGGGGCTTGCGGCGGCAGAATGGGGCAAGCCATACTACGGCAGCCAGAGCCGGCCCTCTCTGCCCCAGGCTGGCGGCGAGATGGCGGCAGGCTAGCCCGCGGGCTACTTACTTAGGATCTCCGAGGCAGCGAGAAGACGCGGCCACAGCATACAAGCTGCCGCCCCGCTGGTTTCATACTCATCGCGCGGACGGGGCGAGACAGTCTGTCAGAGGCAGGCAGGCAGGCAGCACGCAGCGGCCCGCTTGGCAGCCTCGGCAGGTTGTTGCGGATAGTCTGAATGCCATCAGGGGACTGCCGTCGCGGCGTCTTGGTCGGTGGTTCGGTTTGTCCGAAGCTGCGCGGCGACTTCTTGTCGGGTAGATTGGCTTCGCCATGGAGATAGAAGAGGAAAAGCACCGGCGACCGCTGCACGCAGCCGGGCACGTAGTACCAAGAAGAGCCTCCAAGACTGCACGCAGGGGGGTAGCCAGTTACGCGAGCGGCCCACTTGCTTCGTTGCTTGAGCATCGACGCCGCAGGCGTGGCGTCCTCATCTACCAGAGCAGCGCTGGGAGCTTTCACCCATGGCAGCCCACAGACGCCGGAGCGAGAAGACAGCGGAGGCGGAGAGGAGGGACCCACTTCCTGCGGCCATCGATCGCAGCGGAAGCAGGGGGCGGGCCAGGCACGCAGCCTGCCAGACTGGCAGACATGCTGGCCCCCACCCCCCGCCACCCACGTGCGTAGGCAGAATGCTCCCACCCCTGCAGCGGGGCTGTTGGGTGGCTTATTTATTGGCGACGGACTGAACGAAGTGCAAGGGGGACGCCCAGCAGGTTCGTGAAATCAGTGAGAAGCAAGGGCAGGGCGCTCCTCGCTGAAACTATGCGCACACTTGTGGCGGGGGCGGGTGGAAGTTAGTAGTCGCCCCCGGCGGAGGGGTGCCCGCCGTTGAAAAGAAGAGCGCACGCCCGCGGCGGCGTAGGTGGTCGCCGATGGGACTGGGGTGGGCGGGGTTGCTGGTCGGCGCGTCGCAGGGGTTGCGTCCCACAGCAAAGAGCGACGCCCCTGGTGCTCAGGGGTTGCGCTCAGTATTTTGAGAGCGTTGGCCCTTCGGGTTCGGGGTCTAGAGGTAGGGGGGGGCGCCCTTCGGTTATTGTGTTTGCGTTTCTGTCTTCGGTGTTGGGTGAAGAGCTTGGGCGCGCCGTTTTGTTCGTCTTTGTTGATTCTTGTGGAATTAGTTCGCGGGGTGGTTGGAGTGCTTCGCTTCTTCTTGAGGAGTGTCAGCATTAGCAGCGTAAGCCCGCGCTGTCATTTTTGTTAGTTTGCTCTGCCAGTGGAGAGTGCGTAGGTGTGCTATTAAATAGGCTTGGCCAGTGCACTCCTTAGGCCCCATCAAAAGGCTCACGGACATGCCCTCGCTTCTTCTAATAAGCAACTAGAGATGCAGACGTCGGGGCGCGTGATTGCAGAAATCAAAAAGGCTAGCAGAGCAAAGCCTGTCCTGCTGTATAGTAATGCTGACAGTGCGGGCACGATGGCGCGGCGTAACGTTTTGTGGACTGGTTTCCTTCGAAGCTCGATAACGATCCTGGACTTGGCGTTAAAGTTATAAAAGAGAAGGGCAATAATTAGAAATAGCTGGCACTTGCAAAAGAAGTAAGTGCCGGGAGCTGGGCCGCATAGCACTGAGTATAGATTTGTTCAGATTTGTTTTTCGCGTCTAAATAAAGTGACTCGCAGCTTCTAGTCGGGGTGAGAAATTTGGTTTCTGCGTGTCTAGTGCTTCTAATATGATGCATGCAGCACCAACTTTGCTTGTCGGGGATATCCGCTGCGGAGTCGTATTTGCATGCAAGGGGGCTATTCGGCAGAAGTGACGAAGGAAGCAACCAACAGAAAGGAGATAAGAGGCACCTGCAGCTGGGGACGATGCTGTACACCCTGGCGCAGACTTATCGGCTATGACTCGTAAAGTTTATCGGTTTTTAGGTAACACGGATTGCCTGAAGAAAGTGAGGCCTCTTCTAAGCAAGTTGGGTTTGCGATGTATTTAGGGGCATCCATTTTTGTAGAGGCGCAACTGAGGGACAAGGATTTGGAAATAGTTTGCATTTTTTACTGGTTGCAATGGGGAGCGAATTCTCTAATTCTACGTCGGACGGCGGATGTTCTGGGGCAGGTAGATAAGTTACAAGTTGAATACTGTCCCGCAGGAGAGGAAGAAATCTGGTCAGCACGTGCAGAAAAGTACGCAAGGATTCTGACGTTTCTGGAGCTAGATTCGGCTGGTGGGGCAGTAGACTTCGATGAAGATTGGGGATTGGTCTTTACCAAAACGGTAGAAGAGGTAGAGGGACGAGAAAAAGTAGTTGCGAAGTTCTATATCACAGGGGTGGCAAGGCTGCGAGAAGATCGGGACGAGCATCTGCCTAAAATCAAAAGCGCGATCCTCCACATGCTGGAAAAAGTTTCAGTCAAGTACTTTGCGTTGCCGTCGTTCAACAGGTGGTTCAGTACAGAGGCGCTCATGCATTATGGGAAGTTAGTACGTAGCTACGAGGTTTGATGGCTGATTTATTAGCTTCCTTACGAATGTCGAGCACTTTGCATCTAGAGTCATCGAGAGCCATGCGCCCTTGGTCTTATACATAGCTGGATACTTACAGAAGGAAAGCGAGTTGGTTGGATAACATCTATTAACTTTGATAAAAGTGACACTTCGCAACTTTCTTTGAATCTTGCTAACGAAAACGTTTGCTGCTTTTGGATTGTTTGGGCATAACGTGGGTTTTTGTGTATTTCGTACTGCCGCGGCGATCTGGGGTCGAAGAAACTGAGCCGGAGATATGGGCCGGCACATGTTGGATCAACGCATCCAATTGGGACCGATGCTGGAGGGCAGTGAAATTGGTAACGTGGGACCTGCTGCTAATATGTAGCCATTATGGGACAGATAAGAGCTCTTTACAGTAAATTGCTTAGGATGGCGGGCTGTATCAAAAAAGTAAACTTCTCTCGTTTGATTTTTGCAGGTAGCAATGTGGTGGCAATGATCTTCAGTATAGGGCTAGGGTGTAGTCGATGGCAGGCACTGAAGCAGGAGCCCTCCATCTTTTCGCTGCGTGTCTTCTTCTAACTGCAGCTTCTTCCAAGTAACGCGCGGATGTACGCGGGGCAGTATTTAGAAGCGTTCGAAAAGCATCCGCAGACAGCAGAAGAGCTACTTCTAAGTGTCGAGCTATATCCTCTTGGGGTGGAAGTTTTTTCGTACTGGAGTGTAGAGCACGTTGTGCACGCAGATGGATGCGTTATCATCGGTCTCCTTCATGCTTTCTTTGGGGGGTGGGAGCGGATGCTAGTCGAAGGAGCTCGATACCCCTTCTTGTTTCTGCCTCACGTGCATTCTCGTGAAGCTTTTGAGGCAGCTCTGCAGGCTTTCATGGAGGTACCAGAAGAGTCGGATTTGCTAAGGATCCAGGGCGGATTCAATACTAAGGTGCGGGAGCTCCTTAGAGATGGCTCCCTCGATATCGAGTACTTCAGAAGCCTCCTGATCTTGTGGAAAAAAACTTTGCTCCGAACTTCTAATAGGAGTGAAAATAACCACTCAATTACTAGTAGAGTGGCTCGAAAAGCAGGCGGTCCTGCGTTACGGTCTACGATTTGCACGGATTTCGGAGCGGAAATGATGGCGAGGCAAGCTCGGCAGAAAAGACCGACTCCACGAGTAAACCGGCAAAAAAACGAGAGGTACATCTCCGAGCGCAATGCTTTTGTCGGTGCAGCTATGGAAATGCAGGGTGCAGCAGGATCAAAAAAACAAGGAGTGGCGAATTTTCGACGAGCGCAAAAACTCTGGAAAGAGTCATCTGAATTGCGGTTAGAGGGTGGAGATGTGGCATGGGTGACGCAGGTAATGCAGCAAGATGTTTATAAGCGACGCATGGACACTCTCAAAACAAACGTTGAGATCACGGAGGACTATTGCAGGCGCCTGCGAGAGTGGAATAAGGACCCGGACGTGCAAGAGCGTAAGGCCCAGGCAGCGCGGTTTCAGCATATCCTAGATGCAACTCAGGACAGACGAGCACCGTATGCATCTTTGCGGCAGCCGGTCGATGAGCAGGAGGAAGAAGAGTGGAAGCCAGACCACTCTAAATGCCTTCCAGGTGCTCACGATGATCAAGTGATGGCGCCCTCGTTGGCAATGCACAAACCAAGTGGCGACTTGTTGGCGAGAGCAGGGACGCAGCGGGCCCGAACGCGCGCCTCGTCGGAGCTCGAAGTAGCAAGGTTTCACGATCCCGGATCCCTCGACTTCTATCGAAGTGCGGGCAACACCATCTTTGCTATCGTTGGAGCAACGAAGAAGCCGCTGGGGGCGAATGCTCTCCAAGTGTCTGTCCTCGAGTTTGGCTCCAGTGCAGCCTTGGGGGAAGACGCAGAAGAGGTGGCTTGTGTGGAGATTAAGCTATCAGCGATGCCAGTTCCAGTAACGCAGTTGCTACAAGACGAAGCAGGCGCAGCGCCAATTAACAACGAATTGTGGACGTTCACTGATGTCGAGCACGTTTTGGGGACACTGCGTTTTTTCTTGGGAAAGGCAACGCGCTTTACGGAAGTGTTAGCCATAAAAGGGAAAGCCTCAAAGGAGGAGGCTGAGGCGAAGGATCAGGAAAACATGGCTGCGGCGGCTATAAAAGATCCGGAGTTGGAGAAGCAGATGAAGCACTGTAAAAAGGTGGAAAACAATTTGGAAAAACTTCGTAAGTCTAGTAGTTCTGTTGTGGCATGGCGGCAGCCAGCTGCCGACCTCATCGCAGGGGAAAGCTCCAAATCAAATCAAGAGCCCCTCAGCATCCTTCCAAACAAGGTGAAGGAGGGAGATATACCGAATCTTTTATCCTCTCAAGCGCGCATCCTGGACGCTGCCGCTGAGCTATCTCCTGAAGACAGCGCCGTCGATAAGATGCTGGACCTGTCTCGGCAGATAGTCTTCGAGCAATCTGCAGAGCGCGCACGGCGAAGAGCAACGCGACAAAGAATTTTTAACAGGTATTATTCTTATTCGAAGGCTTGCTGTCGGGTGGCCGAATCAATCTCGACCAGGGTGTCTACTGTGTTTTTGTCTCGCTTCTTTTGAGTTTTCTACTGAGTTTTAATCTTCAGTTTTTCATCTCACTTTTGTGGTGCCTCTTATCTGAGATAATCTCTTTCTCGCTCACTCTCAGCGCGGGAAACCACAGCGAGCATCAGTGGGCAAATCCCCTAAATGCGCTCAATGAGGAAGAATTGGGTGAGCATCAGAAGCAGCTGCAAGCGAACCGGTTAGCCCTTCTTACCGACGAGTCTCTTTTGGAGTTTGCTCCGGGATTTTCCGTGAGAGTTCGCGCTTACAACGAAGTGGTGCAGTGTAGTATTATGGCCAAGCTTTGTTTATTATGTATAAAAAAAGAATCTTAATATAAATATGTAGCTGACCCTATTAAATTCTGCGTGAGTACTTCATTCTGTACTGTGCAGAGTCTATGGCCTATACTCAGTTTTTGGTAGGGGTTGTTGTACTTTGTTAGTTTCCCAGCTAAAGATAAGGAAATGGTTAACGTTAGGTCCTTTATTAGAGTACACGCAGGCCATGGGCTGGCTTTTGATTCTAATCATTTGCCGCGCAAGGAGGGCTTTGCGGCAGAAATGTTGAAATTGGAGGGCCTCAACGCTACCAGACAGGTGAGCATTCGCAGCTACGGCCTGAAAGGCGCGAGAGCCGTCTGCGCCATTTGGTCTTGGATGGTTTACTACCTGCACAGCAGTGGCGCCGAAGAGAAAAGTGCACAGGCGGAGGAGGAGGGTGAGCCAAGGAGTAAGGAAGACGAAGGCCGCGCATATGAGCAGCATAACGAAGAATACACTCGCAAAATGGCGCTGCGAATCGCAGCAGCCTGTCGAATTATACAAAGTGAGGACAACAAAAAAGAGGCATCTAACTGGCAAGGAGCAGTGGCTCTAGTGCAAGGTCAATCATCTTTACCAAGAAAGTATCGATACCTCTCGCGAGCCGATGAAGTAGAAGGTGCAGCGGCTGCTTCATCAACATCTTAAAAAACAAAATTCGCGGTCAGGGATACAAATAATTAAATGGCAAATAAAGGCCTCTAAAAAGGACAAGTCATGCAAGAGAGATAAGTAACGAAGAAGGAGTATGAGTAAGGATGTAAGATAGAAGCATAGGCGTGTGTAATGAACTGCTTTTAAAGTATGATCCACAGCAAGCGGGACTGCACAAGCGAACCCCAGCTGATCAAGGTCAATCTATGAGTTGTGGCCCAGCTGATCACCCAGCTGAACAAGGTGAGCGCTAGGTAAGTAACCCAGCTGTTCACCCAGCTGTTGGAGATGAGTCACGCAGCTGTCACCCAGCTGATTAACCAGCTGTTGCGGGTGGGTCCGGCAGCTGCCACCCAGCTGATTAACCAGCTGATGGGAGTGACGCACCCAGCTGCCAACCAGCTGATCAACCAGCTGTTCAACCAGCTGATCAACCAGCTGATAAACCAGCTGACCCCAGGTACTGGGTTTCCTGTATGAAAACCCATAGGAGGTTCCGTTGGTTGATCAGCTGGTTGATCAGCTGGTTGATCAGCTGGTTGATCAGCTGGTTGATCAGCTGGGTGAGCCCTCCCCTCAGCTGGTTGACAGCTGGGTGTGTCACCTCCATCAGCTGGTTGATCAGCTGGTTGACAGCTGGGTGTCTCATCTACATCAGCTGGTTGATCAGCTGGGTGACAGCTGGGTGAGTCACCTCCATCTGCTGGGTGATCAGCTGGGTTACTAACCTGACGCTCACCTTCTTCAGCTGGGTCACAGCTGGGTGACTAACCTAGCGCTCACCCTGCTCAGCTAGGTGAGGGCAGGCTGGCAGCTTTCCCTATACCTGCCGAGTGACAGCTAGATGCCTAATAAGTCGTGAACTGTTTTTACCTGAGTAGCAAGCGCAATCGTCCACTTGCTGACTTCCTGAGAAGTGTAGCTGAGCTGTGGTAGTGATGTAGCCGTTAGAGGACAGCAGTCGTGAGGCAATTCCAGTTGTTTGCACAGAGCAAAATGACGTCTACATATTCTTGACGATGATATACACAAGTGAATACTTTCCTGAAGGATCTACAGGTCTTGCAAAGAATTATTATTATTACGATTAACAACGCTAAATAGCCTCAGACTGAAGCAATAAGAGCTGTAGACAAAAACACTGGTTCGTCGAAATTGTAGGATGTATGCAAATTTCGAGACTCACTCGCACAGTCGCCTTGTGGTGTTTATCAGGACTCAAAGTGGGTCCCTCTCCCTCGGATTGTGTTGCTGTCGAAAAACTTTATCGCGTTTTTCTTTCGTACAGGCAGTTGTCGGTTGGCTCGGTTGAATCGGGTAAAAATTGAGTCGGTTTCGAACCATGTATATTGAAACTTGATCTGTTAGTCGGCAAAAGTTTCGTCCTCGGCTCCTTGAACTAAAGACAGGTGATCAAGCCATGAAAAAGATTGCTTTATCCTTCTCAACTGAAAGCGATAGATTTTTTTTGGCAATAAGTCAAGAATAAAAAGCTACTCTTTGTCATCTCGACAAAGTTGCACTTCTGTCTTCTAGACCTTCCATCGGCAATCCCTTTTCCTCTTCATTTCAGCGACAATAAAGTTGCTTTATCTATCTTCCGTGAGCTTAGATATTATTGTGAGCTTCGATCTCTACAAGTTAGTAGTAGGTCTTACCTTTTGCAGACGGACGCACTATCTCCTTCACTACTGTAGTACTTATTCATCAGCGTCATACTGTAAGCAGCTGTCTGCGTCTGATAGTATGAAAAATTGTCCTTGACCAATCAATCACACTAGATTCACGTCCAGAGCTGTCTCAACGTTGTGTCGAAAAATTGTACCTAACAAACCAAAATAGATAGAGATCACAAATCAGAATAAGTCAGTATGTCCCTGTGTCTCTGCTAATTCCTATTCCTCGAGCTTTTATTTCAAAAAAATGTTTAGCGTTTGTGTATGCAATAGAAAAAGTTCTTCTCGTATTGTTTTAGTTGGTACTCCTGCGTACTCTTTTCGCTTTTGTAACCGTGCTTCTTTGAGGTTGTAGCTGCTGACACCGTCTATCACACTCTAAAACAATCTGTGAAAAAAACGTTATCTCCTAATCAGAATGGCCTAGGGTCACACCGATCGAATTACTCCAAAAAGTATATTGTTGATTCCTGATTTTGAGCTCTCTGTCTTCGATAAGAAATTTTAACACTAACAACAACTGAAAGCAATTAGCGTTGCAGTTTGTGAAAGAATAGCTGTTATTTATTAACAATCAAAGTGCCGGCCTCGTCCTCTTCTTCCTCGTCCATTTCGGCGAGGAAGGAGAAGCTGTCGATCGAGAAGTTGGAAGTATTGGCCGGAGGGCCTCTGGGGGGTTCCGCGCGGCAACCGAAAGGAAAGTCGAAGCTTGTGGCTCTGATTATGGAATATGTATTTCTTACTCGTCAACTATGTGTTATTTAGTCTCAAGATGTTTCCCAGAAATTGTAGATAGGCAACAAGCAGACGCAACTTACTGGCTATACGATCACTTTTCCGCGTGTCGATGCGCTCTGAAATTTTAACTAACAAGTCGTATCCTACAGTTTTAGTTACTATCACGTCTTCTAGTGTTTACTGTTCTAAACCTGAAGAAAAACACGAAGGCATCGGAGCAGGCCCGAAGACGAGAAACCGCGCTCCAACGACGTCGCATAGCCGCAATTGTAAAATAAGGCCAAAAATTGCAGTCACTGTCTCACGGTCATAATATATAGTAACTCGGTCCTGACGCCGCCCTCTATGTATCCCTTTGTGTTGCACAAATGTGCAGGAATATGCATACTGCTTACTATCAGCAAAAAGCTTGGCCTTCTGGGACCTGCAGGCCATCACCATACACGACCCGACTCTAATAGCCATGAATGGGACTGGGCGCAGAGAGCTGAAAGAGTACATCTTATGGCACTCCAGTTGCATTGGTTATCCATGTAGGTCCTCATCACAATTGGGTACTGAGCCAATTTCGGAGGGCTCTTTTGTGTTTTGTATTTAATCTTCACTCAGTATCTGGGCCACTGACATAGTAGACTAGAGGGCGTGACACATTAATCGATAGGGAGTGTAAGGTTATAAAAAATAATAAACCCCATTATATTCGGAATCAGTTTAGACCAACACGCAGGGGAGGAGCAACAAAAGAAGCGCTTTGCCTGGAGTGATAGAAAAGTCTAGAGTTGTATTCAATATCTTGCGTTCACCCTCGATTACTCGAGGTGACCTCTCTCACGTCCATAACTAATACTCACTTGCTCATCGTGGGACTTTCATCTTAAGCCCCCGCTTCCTTCCCAGTTAGTTTCCTTACGTACGTTGATTTTCTCTCCTCGCCTCCCTGCGTGTGAGCCTTTGTGTGCTCCCCTGCTTTCATTGCTCAACGACAAAGTCCGCTCGTTTCCTTGGGTGCAGCATAATATCGAGACGAATCCCGCGATGAAGATATGGCTTGATACATTGAGTCCATGGGTAAGAGCTAGCATCAGGAGCCTGGCAATTTTCTTGAGGTTCGTCTCCTTGTGCAAGGCACACCCTCGAAGGCGGCCTCAATGTAATAAAGAGTGTTTCTCTCTAAGATCCAAAGAAGTGCACAGGATGTGCACTCAGGCGTATGCTCTTATGGCTAAAATCAACAATCATGCTCATGGCATGTTCTTCAGTTTTTGCTCGTCACCTTGAGTAAGACTGCTTTCTTGCAACATAAACTACGCATGACAATTTACTAATAATAGATATGAGAGTGGGCCCGGGCAGACTGATGATCTCATGCGCTGTCCCGTTCTTCTACTTTCGCACATTCATAGTCCACACTGATGTACAAAGATAGTGATACAGGCTCTTATGGACTGAACCTTTTTTCGAGGGTGCTATCTATGCATTCAGAATTCAAATTTCTAACGCTGATGGAAAACAACTACGCAAAGCGGAGTTCCAAACAGGCTTCTTTGATTATGGCTGAACAAATCGCTTTTAGTTGTGCTCTTGGTTTGTTGCGCGGGTGGCCTGTGAGCAACCAAAAGCGGCTAAGATGCCTGACTTTCGCGCGTCTTCCTTGTTCAAGCGAGGAAAGCAGCACTGCTTTCGAATACGTCGGTCGATATATTTAGCAATGCAAACCACTGAGCCCCATTCAATAATAAACATCCTCACACGCTATGCTTCGCGCAACCTTCCTGCAAAAAAAACTAAAAGCGAATCTTACTCTTCATGCATAACCGTTCTACCTCGCTTTATGGCTCGTTTGTTGCTGCCTCTCTTAAATGAGCTATTGCTTTGGAAGATACGCGCTCCTCCTCTAAAAGGAGGGCCCTATGCAACCGGTCAAGTAAGAGAGGTAGCAAACAGGCTCTTCTTCTAATGAAACACGTGGAAAACGAAGCACATAAATTGGGAATTATTAAGGCCTTCTTACTTACCCGAAATAGAGAATTTATCACACTAACTCACTAACCGTGATTCTTCACCTTCATGGTTGGTGCGTCTGTGTTGATGTTGTAGAGTAATTCATAATTAATTTTTCTCTACCTCTATACTTCTTGCGCCCTCCTCTTGGGGATAGATAAAACAAGGATGACCTACCACGGCCTCAACTACAGTCAAAATGCATCGGGTCCATGGGCGTACTCTAATGCAGCCAAAACACTTCACTACACAGACAAGCTCGGCAACCTGCAGTGCCTGGCGTTTTTAAGGATTGACTTGAAATGCGTCGTATCTATTTTTTGGCTTCTTCATTTTGCTCGTCTATAGAAGTATAGATTAGCTCTATAACTTCTAAAGGATTACTGTGCATCAGTTGTCTCTCCGCAGAATTTGACTGAACCTTGAAGAAGGTGCTACCACTGCATATTTTGCCATATTTTTTCCAAGTCTGAAAGATTCGACCCACATGAGGCAGTTGGAGCCTCTTTTTACCCATGGTGTTTTAGTTTGCGACCAACTCATCCTACCCTTACCTGGTTCTCACTTTTTGTTGATTCAAGGGCTGAAGCTGCGTCAGCTCTTCGCCCCTGCAGATATGCCTGAAAATCCCTTTCATTTGTTGAAGGAGAGAAGCCCCAGCCGGTGCCGCGTACAGAAGAGGAGATGCAGAAACTCGCGCAGGTCCGGCCTGAGCTTTATGGTAGAAGCTGGCGCGTCTCAACGTACTCTCGGTGATCGCATGAAAGCAATCCTGGCTGTAGTTACACGCTCACGCCGATAATTTTCCCCCAAGAATAGCGTGAGCGCGTAACCACTGTTCATAAATACGTTGCATTTTCCCGTAATTGATATAGGCACTGACGCGCCTGATCTTTCCTTTCTAACGATGCCGATCGTTTCTTGGACAACCCGATGCCTCGAAGGGCCCGACGGTTATGCGTGTTGGTTTCGATTACAAATCACAGTGACAGCAAGCTACCTGTAATTCTAGAAAAACACCTGACTCCCGTGCATATTTATAGAGGGACAAGGTTTCCGGTTGAGCTTGCATATTTCTCTTTCAGATCAATAGCCGACACCCTCTCACCCTCTACACCCCTGACCTTCTTCATTGCTCAAGTCCGTAAAATTCTGGGCTACGCGTATGATACACCCACGCAGGAGGAGTTGCGAGTTATGCAGGTATCGCGTCTACCTATACCTATCTCTTTTTATCTGTTATCCAGATTTCCTTTTTCATTGCTGCAGGCCTTCGCGGGAATGAGTCAAAAGTTGTTATTACAAAGTCAGCAGATTCCGCGTCAGCCAGTTGAGTTTTTCTTGCTATGCAAAATCTTAGCTCATACTTCATGATAAACAAGAAACTTCAAAGGACCCTCACAGATTTCTCATAGCTGCTAAACACTTTCCCCAACACAGCAAATCATGAAAGCGCCGAAGCCCTACGCTGTGGATATTAAGGTTGCCAGTTTTGCTTCGTCTGGGTGCTCTTGGTCCTTTCCTTACCTTATCGAGTGTATACAGGTATAGGCAGGCCCTCACCCGGACGCCTGCAAATCGATGCTATACCTCTAATCATCTGGGAGTAGAATTTATGGTGGCCAGCGACTATCTCATCATTTTTAAATGGTAGTGCTTTATAAATTCGTCCCATAAGTTCCCTGTTCGGGCTCATACGTGCACGCTGTTTATACTTTCTCCCACCGTGATCATGGCCTCCTCCCTGTCATGCCACCCTTTTCCATTTCACGCCAAGAGAGACTCAACCCAAACTTTACAATCGTTAAGATTTATTTCTCTAATGCACGGCTTGTTGCTGCGTGTCTCGTGCCGGAGCTGAGCGTCTATCTGGCCGGCCTACTTTTAAGGATCCTCTTGGTGCTTATTTACATCTAGACGGCGCATCCTGGTGTGCCTCTTTTTGCTGGATAGATATTGATACTCATGGTAGCTCAATGACAATCTATTGCTTCTATTCAAAGCTTCTATTACTAGAGTATTGAGAAACCTCTAATACCAGCAGGCTCCATCGGAAAGACGGGGGAAGATTGGGTGGAGACGTATTACACCTTTACATCTACTGACATGCTACTCCTGGATGCAACCAGGAGGACAGCTATCTAATCCTTATTCATATTTGCATGCCGTGCTTCCTGACTTTAAGATCTACTTGCTTGCACTACTTTCGTGTCCATTCTTATTCATGCTACTTAATTACTGCTATGTATGGGATGCTCATCTTGCTTTCTATCTTGGACTTTAGGGGATAGAAGAAAACGATTATTACGACCTAAATCATAAATCAGAAACTGGGGCTTTGTGCAGATGCTGAAGAGAGCTGAAGAGCAACGATTCGAAGAATTCAAGGATAAGGCTTCGCGTCTGTCGTTTTCCCTTAGTGGCATCTCCATATGTGTCTCGTTTCTTGAACCATAAGAAACGCGCGCACAAGTGCTACGATGCGATGCGCAGACTTCTTTTTCTCTAATGAGCAGGAGCTTGGCGACGAGTATAAATACGATTTCCCCTTGCAGCGCATCAACCACCTCTGCGCTTACGGGATTAATTTGCTTAATCTACACAAACCTGGGGCGCGATTATTTCCAGTAGGATCTATAATTGAAGGCTTTTTGGAATCACAAGGCACTTTGATTCCAAAGCTTCAAAGCAAGGAGACTCCTTTTGTAAACAAAAATCTAAATCACATCCTTCCACACTCCGCCCTCCTATGCTCCTCATCTCTACAATGTATCATCTAGCATGTAGGTCCCGTTGATTTGACAAACTAGATGCCGCATGACGAGGCTCTCGCCGACTTACCTTGTCTAACGCCTTTGGTTCGAGTACGTGATGGAGATCCGTAAGTATATCCGCTTATGGCGATTCGAGGCCCCAAACTTGAGCAAGCTAAAAACCCCGCTCATCCTCCTGTTTGGGCGACCTCTCCCTAAGATTCTACCTCCTCTGGTATAGAATGTTGGGAAACCAGAGAAGTTAAGTATTCCCTACTGCATGACCTCCCTTGCCTAGAAAGAAGGTTTTCCAAAATCCTCTAACATAGAAGGGCGGCAGCTTGGAGGATATCGGGGACGAACATCCAATTTATGACACGTAGCAGCGTGACACTACCTCATACGCAGTTGGTTTGTAGTTGCAGCTAGTTTTACAGATTATAGCCTCTTCTACGAGTAGACGCGCACGTGCCTTCCACAGACCCGCACTAGCGTCTGCTCTGTTGCTTCTGTGACTAATTCATCGCTGTTGTGATTATCGCCGGACATGAGACAGAGACAGGACTAGTTATTATATCTTTCTTCTTCGCAATATTCTACTCAGAGGCAGACACCTGTAGAATTTCACTATTCATGCCTATTTGCCTTGATATCCAACATCTAAGATCTGTCTCAGTTCGCAAGCATGGCATCCGGCAACAGCAAAACGAAGCAGGGTCGTTTTACGGTGATGGGAGTTGCTAACATAGAAAGAGACGAGCCAGGCGCTGGATCGAGCGCGTAGCCTTTTATTTAACGAGTATTAACAGGCATGCTTTGAGCAGCGGGATTCTTTCTGCTATACGCGAAGATGCCCTCTCATCTCTTTTTCATCCTTCTCCTAACAGGCCGCTACATGAATACAAACAAAACTCGACTGATTTAGCGAAGACAAAGTGAACCTTTCTAGTCCACTTTCATCACTTCCTTTAGACGCATCCTTAAGTAGTATCTCATTGGTAGCAACCAAGCCTTATGCTTTTGCCCTTCAGAGTTATCCCTTCACCTCCTGAATTACCTCATACCCTTGAGCCTATGGCTTACGTTCTAACGTTACCGGCCGTGGACAAAAGGCCTCGGTGGACCTGCCTGTTGGCCCAAGTGAAAGTTGCATTCTGAGTATGGAAACGGATTGGGCGCCGATTTTTAACTGCTTCAGTTAAGGCCGAATAAAGTAAATGATTTAATTAGTGATCCTTCTCTTTCCTCGTTCTTCAAGAGAAACCCGGAGTCAAATGCTTCCTCTTGGCAGCGTGGCGGTGCACCTAGATCGAGACAGAATCTAAGTCAGAGCGATTGGGGACAAGGTGAAGTTATGGCTATCTCCTTTGATATTCTGTATTTCACAATAAGAGCAGGCGCAAGGCAAAAACTTCATTCACAAGAATGTTGACTATTTCACTGACAAAAGGCGTTGCGTCGTTTCTAATGGCTATGACCAACGAGAGCGCTTACTTGTCCTGACATATTAGCCACTGCCCCACGGGAAAATGGTTTGCAAGATCCTAGAATGAGTACCGCCTCACCTATGTAATGCTGGAAAAACTACTCCTCACCTATGTATGCTCGGTCTACATTTTCTAGGCTGCAACCTATGCTCAGCGATTACAGCCGCAGTAATTCAAATGGACATGGTTGCAGGCACTCGCGTACTTTGTTCAGAATAAATTGCATTTCTAACACTTACTCGCACTTCGGTAAACGAAGTTGCCGACCGACTCAAAGTCAGCCTGGGCAAGCTGGTCAACGCCTTTACTGTGCATTAAGGTCAATTGGGTACTCTTTGTCAAATTTTGTTTCCTGCTTACAAAGGAAACCAAGCTTATCCAAAGCTGCACTCCTCAGCAAGTGCGCGCCCTTCTCTCTAACATACGCAAACGTATGCAACCAGCCTGGGGCAGAATCCAAATTAAGAAGGGCATCTGGTTCGTTATTCTCATCATGGATGGACGCATGATGCTACAGATGGATATAGATGAGGACCCCTGTACTCCATCCATCACATTATATTAGTTTTGGTCTTGTTCTTGATGGTGCCTTCTCTAAGGTAGATTATTTTCCCCCAAAAGATTTTGCCCTATCGATCCCTTGACTGTACAGTGTAAGTGTGTAGTCTGATACTCCATGCATTGACTAGTATTCATCATAATCCCCATCAAAAGTTCCCTCCTAAAGATGATTAGGTTGCTATCCTTGCGCGTCTCTGGATTTACTAGGTGCAGCCCCCCGCCTTCTAAGGTGCTGCTGAGAAGGAAGCGGAGATTAACCTCAAGCACTGGATTCAAGTGATTTACGGCTGCCGCTAATGCATCCTCACTGCTATCCCCGCTTTCCCAATCTTTGCACTTTTTCAACTTGAGAAAGTAAAAGTGAATACGGGTAGCGTGAGATCGAGGCACAAAAGCGGCATGTCTAACAAACGAATACCGAATTGGTGGGCTTATTTCTATGGCATGTGATTTTTACTGGTAAGGAAATTTTCTTGCTCTTTCTATATACCCCCTAGACATACGCACTCACATATATGCGCGACGAAGTGGCACAGCTAGAAAATCCAAAACAGAGCTGCTTACGACGTCACTACAGACTCTAATTTCCAAACTGAAGGACTCCAAGAAGATGTACGAAGAAGCCATGGAATGGATTTACGACGCGTACCGACGCTGCTGAATTATATTTCTCCTACTTCTCTTTGTTTCTTTTCTTGTTTCTTTGCAGTCCATAGCTGAGGCTCTCCTGGTGGTAGTTTAGCTATTATGACTTTCATCAACGTGGTCACCCCTCAAAGTTCAGGTTGGTGCACTCCTCGTTAAAGGTCCTGGTAAAATTCACTTCTTCACTGTTCTTTTCTCTCACGAGCCTTCTTCTCAATAAAAAACACAGATGGGATGGAGACCCATCCATGATGCCCACAGACTTCATGCCACAGGCTAACCTGCTGAAGTACCAACTCGCGACGCGCCAGCTAGAGGAAAGAAACACTTTTGGTTACGGCGTTTTATCGTTATCCTCTGCCAAAACAAACAACTTCAGAGATTAGATTAAATATCCTACCTTATCGCGAGGAAGCCTCCTAGGAGTCGGAGTAGTTGTACTAATACTATTACTAAGTAATGCTCCGTGCCCTGGTAGGTCATTATTCCGCTCTTAGTTATGTAGTTATCGTGTCACTATATTCCTCGCGGAGGATGAAGCTACTTGTCTCTTTATACATAGCAAGCTGAGCATAGACCCTGCATAGATCCACGGTTTTCCTACTCCTGCTCTTGTCTTCTAATTTTCACGCCTGAAGTGGCTATCTGAAAAAGAGGGGAGGAGAGACACTTTGATGACTTGCTTGCCTATTCGTGGCAGGAAGTTGATCAATTAAGGCATAAATATCGTAGCTCATCTTACGCAGCATCCGCAGAAAAGCTGATTATCCATCGATGTTTGTCTCGAAGCAAACAGATGACAGAGAGACTGACGCAGATGCTTCTGCTTCAGTACCTAGATGAGCTTACTCGTGCACTCGCTAAAGCCTGGAAATTACTGACGCTGCCAACTTACGGCTGAGTATATTATAATTAGTGCCTCCAGTGTATCTATGCCTGCCCGAGTGTGGCTCATCATGCATGGGCCTCTACTCAGGAAACATGCCAAGTTGGATACTCCTGACTTATCAGCTTTTACCGCTAATAATACGATGGGAAGAGGAGCTTCAGGAGTGGATGCAAGATTAAGGCGGGAGCATTCTTATTGGATACTGTAGAGCTAGACGCACCTATCTTTTATCAATTCCGTCGTCCTGCTCGACAATGTCCGAATTTCTACAGTACACAATTTTCTACAGTAAGCCTCTGTCTAGTCTACGTACCTTGCTCAGCTGACCGGATACATACCCATTGGGAAAAGCAGCCTCCCTCTCCTTGCTCTAAAACGGATTTGACGAATTGTGGACAGTCGACGTTGTGGAGTACTTCACTTATGCATGGTTCATCGATTGACTCTAGCTAAACAGAAGCTATCCCTGCTCAGAAGCAAGTCGCCATGCCAGAGCGTGCCCGCTTGTACTCTCATAAATAAATCTGTGAAGCGTCCGGTTACAAAAACAGAATGAAGGGATAGCTTCTATTTCCTATGTGTACGTAGGTAACAAGTTCTTCCTCATCTAATACTGGGACACGCTTATGGAAGATTGGGACATTACGAATTACGCTCCGAACAAATTGGAAAAGAGGACGGTGACGGTACCAGCTAGATATCTTTGCTCTTTTGATTTTGGGCTCGCTATCTGTATCTTCTCTCTTGAAGCTCCGTCTTCAATCAAATGGAAAGACGTCGTGGTCTTCATTTGCAGTCCGCTGGCGACCACAGCTGACTTTTTCATTAGCATCTTCCTACCGAACTACACAATTTCATCTGCTGCATCTTGTCTCTCATCTTCGAACCAGATAACAAACTTCTTGCACAAAGAGCACAGCCAGAATAACTACCATTCAGCGACTGGGATTCGCTGCCTCCAGTATTACAATTATGCATGGCAGTCGATATCTATCCAGAAATTCTTGCTAGTAGTAGAGCTAAAGACGGCGCCCCAGGGCTTGAGTCTGACCAAGGGACATTTCTATTAGAATTTATTAGACTTTTTCCTACTTTATGCACTTACTTTTTATTTCCTACGAATGTCTCATCGCAGGGGATCGCAGTCAGGGAATCGCTACAGTACTGAATAAAACATCTACACTATGTATTATGACAGCTCTTACTTCTGCTCGGATGAGCAATTTCTAATGTTGCAAGCACACTTGGTCCGCGAAAGTTAAGAAAATGCATCTTCTGCGAGCCGCGACCAATCTGCCGTCCGAGCTGAGCTCTCGTTGTCCCAAGGCATGGAAAAAAATGGCGTGGGCGCAGGCCCATACAGAAGATGCACATTTCTAATTGCATCAAAGAAATCCACAACTTTTATGGTGGCAGTGAGTTCATTCATAAAAGCTCACTTTCTCCATATCTACAATCACTGCGTTTGGAGAAAGTGCGCCACCGAAAGATAATTATTATAATTCCGTGGTATGTATATGTAACTACTCTAACCGCAGCTAGATGCTTTCGCGAATCGTTTGGGTACATCGCAGATTAATCTTTATGGAGCAGCTCTGGTTCCCTCCTTCATGCCTAACATATATCTAAAAGCAAGCAAGTCCTTTTACATGGCCAGTCCTCCCTTTGTGTATGCAGTTTCTAACTCCTCTTGTGTATCACGAAGACAAGTCATCATCCTGCTAGTATGATTGTGGTGCGAAGAATGTTGATCATGTTTCCATACATAACGAGGCTCTGCTTGTTGCTGTTCATTCTCTAAAACCTTTCTTGTTACCTCTGACAGCACCCATCTAGTAGGGATAGGCAAGGACTTGCATAAGGAGACACTCGGTCGTCTACTTTGACTTCCCCATCCTTAGTCTTCTTACCCCGACCCCAAACAAATCACACAGACGACGCGAGTTTATTCGATCGCGCGACCACACAGTGGCTAGCAATTTATGGCTTGGATATACATGCTACGCTTCCTACTTGATTACCTTTCAACATTCAGACATGCTTGGGACAGGGCCATCGCGTGCCATATTTGCAGTCTACAACCTATTTTCAAAAAAAAACGAAAACGCGCGTTATATATCACTGCTCCCCATCCCTCTCAATTTATGTCAATTTTCCCCAACATAGATTGTCCTACGAGCCGCGCGCATTTACTTAGAGCCGATGTAAGACATTATCTCTTTCTAATTACCCAAACCGTGGGTCGCAGAGGGGAAGCCGCCGCTCCTGACTGACGAGTTATGGACTTAGTATCATTGATTATCTTCAAAACATTTTTCATTGATAATCCCAAATTCTTTCATTTGCCGCTGAGTGGTACAGGCACAGATAAGCCAATCGAAGCAGAATTTCCGAAGGAGTCCTTCTCAAATTCTTACTATCGCTCTCATCCCCTCATAGTGCATCTTCTAATGCAGGAATTGCGGAAGGTCGATGCAAAGATTGAAGACCTGGATGAGAAGTGGAAGTCCCATAAGAAGCAGGTGGAGGAGCAAGACGGGGCCCAAGAGGTTAATGTTATGCTGCTGGGTGCATAATTTTTATAGTTCAGTTATATTGCTACTCTTTTGCTTCACCTAGTCAATTGAGGACGACTAAGTGACGTGGATGAAGCTATTTGGCCCAATTCTCTCCTACCCCTATTACAGTATGACAGTTCGTTGCACAATTCCAAGCGACGCCGCTCGGGAGAGTGGTTTAGTGACCCTGTCGTAGTATATACTACCTAGATGCGTCGCCTCCTACCTATATCGAGCAGACGCGCTACAACGTCACGCTTCTACTCTCCTCAATTCACGTAGCACGTCCCTCTTCCTTTCTGTCTAGTATTTATTTCGGACTGATTGTCTCCAAAGTTGTAAGAGAAAAAGGCCTATTTCCATATCCTTGTATGTAATCCAGCGAAGCCTTTTTTTTTTGCTATATAGATAGTATGGTCTCCCGAAATTTTTCCCGAGCCCACGCTAATTTTGGAGACGATCAAGTTTTGGCTGCGTTGGAAAAATTATGGCTACTGCAGTGGCATCCATTTTGACGATCAATCATGCTCATACCCTGACAGACTTTGTTGTGCTTCTCACTCTGGAAGAAGGCCTCAGGATCATGGGTTCGAAGTCTACGGATGTGACTCTAGTTTCACACTCTAAAAATTGGAGAAAAGCAGATGCAAAAAGCGCAAAAGGTTCCTACTTGTGGTTTTGCTACACAGACTGACCTAACGAACCTCCTTTACCTAATAAATATTTTCATGAATGAAACATCTACGAATTACTTACTTTCATGACGTACTCATCAGCTGCCCTCTTCTCTGTCTAGGTTGGTGCCGGAGCCCAAAAAAAGCTGAAGAAGAAAAACGAGAAGGAGGCATTGATCGACGATTTTTTCAATCCCCTGGAAAATGGTGACGAAGAAGAAGAAGAAGACAAGCAAGACGAAGTTAAGGCCACCGTAGTACTTCCTTTCAGGCTTTCTCATCCTGTAAGGACGACCGAAAGTCCACGCATATCAGTCCTGCTCAGGTTTTTCGTGATGAAAGGCTGACGCTTATTAGGTCTCTGCTTTGGTATAATAGTGGCTCTCTCTCACTGGAGCTAAATTCTGACGATCGTTCATAATCAGAGGTAAGGGGTGCCTGGCATGGCGATTTTTCACTCTGACTATGCTAACTATCATCAGCGACACTCTAACCTCAGGCCGTCTACTATCTTACCGGAAGCCAGCTCGGCAAGGATGGTTCTACCGAAGAAGAGGAGCCGAGCGATGAGCAACAATACCGGTTATGCCTGGCGAACCTTGTAGTTACATACGTAACACAAATATGCGTCCTCTCTCCTAGCTGCCTAGCTACCATACAACAGCAACAAGCTCCTGCATGGGCGATGGGTTTGCCCATCGCTGTTGTGTGGTAGCTAGTCAAGGTTTCTACTTATGTAACCATCTTGACACTTACTGACTAACGACTATTCCTCATCCTCTTAGTCTTATCCATCTCTAATGCGACGCTGGTGCTTCCATTACATCGGATCACGAGACGAGTGTCAGTGATCGTGGTGCTAGCACTTCTGCCGCAACCGCGCGATTTACTGCAAGCGCCTCGGGTACGGGTTCTACTCAGCCCACGGCTGCGGCGCCCGCCTTATGTCTAGTATTGCCTAAGTAAGCGATCTGTGTTGAGTAACGCCCCGAAGGCTAACCTCACTTCTTGTTTTTGCTATACTTTATCTCTATCCTTTTATTCTACATTGAACGAGCAAGGAGCGAGGCAAAGTCAACTCCTGTCCATACAAAGCTTCCCCATAATCAAGATTAGCACTGGGCGCGGGTACCCATCTAGTGGTGTAAATTGAAGTCTTCTAGTTACTTTTACATGTGTGAGATAATATTTATTTTATGTGCTAACTTTATGCGCCTTACGTATCTAAGAGCTGTCATGTAGAATGCATAGTTCTGCTCTTCTTCATTATGTATTTAAATCTACCCGATTCGGTATGTCGGTATTAGCTGTCTATTAAAGCAAGTTCTAACTTCCGCTCCCGCAACCTGGGCGCAGGGCAAACGTGACGCGAGGCCCCGCACCAGCACGAATCACCGACATGTATCTTTAAGCTTTCCATCTCTACAGGAATCCCTCAACCCTATATGCGCCATTTAATACATGTGGAGCGAGAGTGAGGCATGGCGTTGGTAGTAGGGATTCCTCAAGGAGATGCTCTAGCTAGAGATCTAATACTCATCGCAGAGCTAAACGGAAGAGATGTGGATGTCCTTGCTTTACATCCTCCTGTGCAAACCCTGGATTCAGCAGCCTCTTCTGTTGCAGCCCCTGCTGCAGCAGCTGCTTCTGTTGCAGCCCCTGCTGTACCAGCTGCTTCCGCCGCAACCCCTCTTGTAGGTGGGGATTTCTTCAATCCGTGCACATCCTCGGGGGTAAACGAGACTTCCACTTCGTACGTCTGCAAACCTAATGGTACGCGCCAGTGATTCAGAGACCAAAACCAAAAAGGTGAAGACCTTTCTATTTGCTTATCCCTACGCCTACCAGCGTTCTTAAGTAATTCCCAATGAGCTACTCATTACCATAGCAGTCACTTTTTCTTTTTGTGGGAGCATGAGTGCCTTATTTGAGTGTGAATCTAGCACGGCGAGATTCAAACTTCCCTTTTCCCAAGTGCTTCCTGAATCACTGGAAACACTCATTACATCGGATGGGAGTCGCATCTGGCACCCGGATCAACCTAACGCTGAGTGGGTCAGCGCGCACATCTGCGAATTCCTTATGACAAGATGGTGGACCTAGTCCGTAGAATGCACAACATGCTAGAAATCGTACATGGCTAGTTTACTTTTGAGGATGCTGTGACATATTGAGACGCCTGTCGACGGCTACAGTCGTTCAATCCACAAAAGGTAGCTCCAAGATTGGAGACAGAAGCGCGCTTGCTTCTTCTAATTTTTCATGGATGACAGACGACTGGTTCCAGCTCACCTCTTGGCGACACACTTATGAGCACAATGAGTCCGTCTTTCTTGATTCAGTCATCTCATGAGCGCCTTTTCTCAGCAATTCTGTGTGTCATGCATTGAATCAGGATCCTCTTCGGCGCACGAATGAAGAGTGCTACCATATTTGATCCTGAGCGGCGAGGTGCTGCCTGTATAGCCTCCTGATTCCCTCTTATCGTAGTCCAAGAGAAAGCCCCAGTACTATCCGTCGCTTTCTCTCTTTCGTTCTAATGTGCGATTAGCCAACGGGAAGTGGTTCACGTTGCCGACTTCAACCTGTTCCAGTGCGACCCGATTCAATTTCCGATTTGTCCAGTTATGTTGTAGATGATAGATTGCAGTTTATACATCCTCACTTCTTATCAGACGAGGCACTTTCTTAGGTATAAAAAAGCAGGCTCGCCCTTGAAAAACGTGCAAGCAAATGAATTGGATAAGCGGAATGGAGTCAGTAAGTATATCCCTTGGCGCTACTCCGTATCACTATCAACGCTGCTGCAAATGATTCACCTGCAAACAACAAGGAATCGCAGCAGACCGCTCTTTCTGACGATGTCCTACCCCTTACTCTAATATCAAAGATGTACAACTAGCAACGAACCGGAATCCTGGCGTGGAATTTTCCGAGTGGATGACGCAAGCCATGGGCCGACGTTATGGTCTTACTTAGTCGATCTCAATAAAGTAAGTGACGCAAGTTAGTATATTAGTCTACTATTCTATGTATTGCAGATGAACCTGAGTAGAAACCTACTAGATCGCTTCAAGAAGGAAGAATCTGACTAGTAAACATCTCATGAGTTTGACTCGACAACTGACTCCCCCCCCGTGTGCCACTTTTATCGTCTAATCCTCTGCCGAAGTTGCGCAGAGCATCGCGGTGGGTACCTTCAAAGAAAGAAAAGATCTCTTAAGCAAGCAGTAAGTCCACTCTTTGCACGACAGCACTCTTCTTTTTGATCGTATGGGTTTAATAGATACCCAAACTGTAGAGAATGCTGAGAGACACAGAGACGGACTCGCGGCGGGCAGTTCTAAGAAGTCAACGGTTTGCATCGCAGTGGCGCAGTGAGCTGTTTTTATGTCTACCAAACACGACAACTGAATGTCCTACATGACGGACACTCATGCTCATCCCAACTGTTGAAGTTGCTGTAGAGAGACTACTAGGAAACGCAAAGACAGGGACTAGAAGCAAGTGCATCAGCTTGAACGATCTCCATTCTGTTGCAGTCCTGATTCATTATCCAATTGTATTTGTGAACCCTTCTCCTCAACAAAGTTTTCTTACTTTGTAGCAGCACGTGGGTTCGCTCTAATCTGGTTCCGAGAATGGGCCGTCCAGCGGGGCATACCGGAGAGTGACGGCTTCTTATGAGTGTAGAAATTGTAGTGATCGATAGGTCTCCTTATTTTGGTCTATTACTTTTTATCCAACTCCGACAACATATATTCATTATATGTTGTCGGAGTTGGATCAGTGTTTATATCTTTGCTGCTTGAATAAAAATCCGAGAGGTTTTTTTACTAGTAGAAGACGCAGACTCATTTTACTCAATTGGGTGCTCATGAAACTAACACAGACTACGCCTGCGCGGATATTCTACGTAGACGATAGATGAGTCAACTTTTTTACGGTCGTTGAATTTAACGCATGTCAGTGGGCTCTAACTCGCGACCACGAGTGGTTTGATGTGCCTCCCATTCAAGCGGATTCTTGCGCAAGCCAAGTTATGTGATAGTTTGTCATTATTTGACAGCCGAGGTTTGAAGTTGAATCGTCTTCAGTGGTGAAATTATTCCAATCGTTGTGAAATAAATTGGGCTCCTAGGGGTAGTTTTCTTTTTCTTCGCGGTATGGCTCGTTTCTCTTCGTGAAGGTGGAGTACAGAGAAAAAACTTCTGCTCTACCTAGTCCTCTGATCGAGTCTGAGTCTCCTCTCTCTCCCCTCATATTATTTTCTCTAAAATCTCCTTCGAGAAGATGTTTGGCAATTATCTTCAACGGCTGCACTGGCGTGCGCACGTGGAGGAGGATCAGTTTATGACTGTAGTCTAGTGGATAAGGATCTATAGGGGGGTCGCAGCTGTAAGCAAGTCTTTTTAATTCACGAAGGTATGCTAGCTACGTACAAACGCGGGCTGCGTGGGGCATTGTCTGAAGAAGTAGCTTAAATAGGGCCCAGTAACGTACTGACCAGCAGACTGGGCCGCAGGTTTCCCCTTTTTGTTATACTGCAAAGACTCTCAAATCCACAGGCAGTTGCGCTCATCCCTCTAATTCCTTCCGCGTGCTCATTGCTGGGGACAAAAAGATGATTAAGGGAAAACCAATCGACGCAAGGAAATGCTTTTCAAGCGTGACTTTTTTCAAAGAAAAAAGTGCGTCGTTGATTCCATGTAGGTGTCGATTGGAATGTCCTAAGATGCTGCAGCTGCACGGTCTGCCCAAACTTATGATGAAATGCTAAGTCCTCGCCCTGGGTAGTCTCCCTTTACTTTATTTTCGTGCTAGCTACTCCCAGTCTCACGGCCTTCTGCTCATTGATGCCTTACGTGTCCCCACGACCTGGCGTTCGATAGTATCCTTTCTTAGCCGTCAATCATGCGCCAGTTATTTAAGTCTATATACTTCACATACCCAACATGATGATAGTCAGCCCAGATATGTATCAGCCAAACTCGACGAGCAAAGACAAAATGAATCAGTGGATACCTCTTGGGAGCGTTCCTCCTAGAACTATTCACAAAGTATTAGCTTTACACATCTGAGGGCAATAGATACTAGATGCAAGCTCTAAACTTTTGCAAGACTCTTTCCTGTACAGTCAAGAATGTTATGACCATTTTCAAGAGGCTTTCAAGCGCCGCACAGCGCTGTTATTGGCAGCAAAGCAGAGAGCAGAGAAGGCAGGAGGGGTAGGAGAGAACAATAAGCCACAGCAGGAGGAAGGCGTTGTCCCGTCTCCGGACGCAAAGATCAGGAAGCGTTATGGTCTTGTATAAGTTCCCTTCATGGATCAATGTGAAAGCGTGTGCCGCTAGGTAGGCTTAGACACGAGCATACTAAACCTATGAGAAGACTTTTAGATTAGAGTATATTCGTCGCCCTGTTGATTTAGGTAGCATTGCCTCCACATCAGTGATGATCACGGCGGACACACCTTCGGGTCCTAGAGTCAATACCTAGCTGATCCAAGGCTCCGTGCCCTGGTGTTGACCGTAGCAAGCAAAGCCCTTTTCTACAAAAATGATTCCTCTGCTCAGCGTGTCCATGCGAGCGCGTTCTCGCTACGCAGACTTGCGTAGTCACTTAATGAACGCGTGAGCCTAGTTCTATTACATATGGGATAGACGGCAGACCTTCGCTTTCGTTACTGAGTATCTTTTTTTCTCTCATGATTTCGATGACAACCTCGCGTCGGGATTACCCAATCCAGAGGTGGGAGACTTGTACACGATCCAGGAAGGAAGCGAGGAAGCAGGCATAGATAAGGAGGCTCAACATGGTGGTCCGACGTCACTCGAAGACTTCAACTTCAACCAAAGCGACGTCGAGGGACAGCAGCAACAACATCAACAGCAGCCGATTCCCATCATTCCGCCGGCACCCGGAGGTCAAAATCCCGAGGAAGGAGGTCAGCAACAAAATGAACAACAGCCGACTCTTCTGGTTCAGCCGGCAACCGGAGGTGAAAATCCGGAGGGTAATCAACAACAACTTCAACAGCCGCCGACTTCTATCCCTGCGTCCGCCGGTAAGAATGCGCAGGCAAATCAACAACATCAAAATCTGCAGGCAGATCAACAAGGAGACACTGATGTGCAAAAACAGAAGGGTACTGCAGCAGAATTCGGGGTGCAAGAAGAAGAAGGCGCAGCCGGTGAATCTCTGGTGAGCGGAAATCCAGCGGGCTCTTCCTTGGAAGAGGACGAAGACGCACAGGAAGACGAAGAAGAAGATGCAGAGGAAGATGAGGAGGAGAGATCCGAGGAGAAACCCACAAAGCGCGGTCGCCCTCGGAAAATGAACAAAATGAATAAGAAGACTGCCACGAAAAAAACTGCTCAAGCGAAGAAGAAGTCGAACTCTACGCAGGGTGCACGCAAGAAGGTGGGACCCATCAGCAGCAAAGCAGCAGCGAAGATGTGGTAATTGGTGGTGGAAGAAGATAGTGTAGTTTAGAATGGAGGAACATCACTAGAGGTTCATAGATAGGTAGATAGCGCGACTGACGCCGTTCCTCAGGGATAGTATTAATAAAAAGCGTTTCTTTGTATAAGAAAGCAGGATCGATTACTCTTTCCACGGCCCAGCTTGCTACTCAATCTTTCTCCAATGTTGAGCATATTGTGTAAAGATCGTTATTGTTCAGTAGGATAGCATTCGTGAGAAAAGTCTCTTGTTGCTTTCGCATGCTGATCTCATGGAGTCGTCGGGGGTGAAGGGTTTCGCTCAGTTTTTTAGTGAAGTGACAGCGGTAACAAACTTACCGAAAACAAGAATACTCAACTAAGGAGGACTAGTATGTAATGCTGGCCATGCGATCTCACTCTGTAGATTTCACGTCTCATTCATGCACATGACATTCCTAGGTAGAGTGAGAGCGTGCTGCATCTGAGTCTCCCGCTATTGTGTATCGACGTGATTGAAGACGCAATGACGTCGCATACAGCCGACTTCGTTTGTTTTGTGAACTAGATGCTGTACAATGTGCCTGACTCTTTCGAGATAAGTGATTTTAAAAATATGAGCCAACGTATGAATCAAAGGCACGGACAGACGTCATTTTCAGTAAGCTACTCCTGGCTTAAATTTGTTAATAAAAGTGTGCTATATATAAAGAAGGTGGGAGCTGTGGAAATAAATATCTACCCAAGTGAGCTACTCCAATCTTCTGTGCATTAATTAGTACTGTTTTTCTATAACATGGCGGACCGCCAATAAGGATGAAGCATGTGCTTTCTGCATACGGGGCCGGTCGTCTCATGCTCTTGTCTCTCTTAGAAGGAAGGGGGTTGCAGGGCCACGCGGAAGCATAGACGGCGGGGTGAATCAATGAATCATAGAGAAGCCTGTCCTTTCATGAGTAGGAAAAGCGCTCCAACTTACCTAGAATCAATCATAGGGAAAACTGAGCTGAGTTCTCAAATTGTTTGATTCCACTCGTAACATTACCTTTACGGTAAATTACCTGACTCAATTAAATTCATTCGAATTGTTGACGGTGTCGCGGTGAGATCGATTGTAGCAACAGAGACACGATGAACAGCAATCTATAAATAGAAAAGCCTTTAACTAGGTGCGCTCCCTCTGTCTTTCGATCTACCAGTGTGTAACTATAGCTCCAAGGTAGAGGCATAGCCGCTAGTACTTTGATTTGATAGATTGATAGATTCAAGAGACGCCCGACCTATCGGCAAATAAATCAATGGAGTTATCTTACTCGCAAAGAATAGAACTTAAAAGATCTGTAGCCTGCTTCCTCTTGTGCTAGTTTTGCATGCTCCACTGCATGCTTATGTATCCACACCGATGCCAGACGCATCGATCCATCGGCAGAATCTATTCCCAACCCATCCCTTTTATGAGCATGGATATACTCACCCCTTCACTTCACCTCCTAGGCCGAAGGTTCTCAGTGATCGGTATAGCAAGTTGATCTATGTACGAGCTAGTATGCTAGCTCCGCATCCTCCTGACTAAGCATGTGGAGCCTGGCCCATCAGTCTGTCTACTTTGACATGCTAGGAGGTGAGCGTGAGCAGAGGGGTAATCGTGTCGTTCTGTCATAAAACAAAGTCAGACCCTAACTTCCTTAGGCGGTTCTCCTTAATAGAATCGCAAAAAAATGGCTCGCATACGCAGTCCCAGTCAGGCTGTGTATGTCCCGCTGAGTCTTCCTGCTCTCCGCTGGATCCCCCGACATATTGGAATTTGAACGCTGAATAAATAGAGTAGCATGACCGAGCGTTATATATGTCACAAACTGAAGACTGACGGACAGGAAGCAGATGGATGCGCTTCTTCTACCTATCAAGACTCTCAGTCAAGGCATTCCTTCAATAATAGCCGTTCGTAGCACTAACATTTCCTGACTCGTAGAAAAGCATGCTTCTTAGCCCCATTTGAGTTCGATTAAATATAGGGTACATTTATAGGCACGTACTTCGATTTCGTCTCTCCTCCTAAATCTCTCCTTTCTTTCATCTTCTCTGTCTCCCCTCATCCACATATAATATATAGCACAAGGTCCTTGTGAAATGCATTGTGCCTAACTTGTCAGTTTACGACGGTCGAAGAATTTCATCGGCCAACTAAGGCACTCACTTGGATTAGTTGCTCTCTCTTATAAAAAAGCATCCCCTCTCACTCTGTCTTGAACTCCAGTTAGTGTCTCTCTGAAAAAAATGATTTTAGATCAATGAAGGTCGACGGACGAGGTTTAACGATACACTCATAGGCAAATACTCTCGAAACGAGGCAACGTTCTATCTTCGATTTCTTGGCCGTCTAGTGTGTACCGATTGAGTAAGTTCTTCACGAGGAGTGCCTTACTAGCAACAGGCCTATAGGTACCGACATCCGCTTCCTAAAACAGAAGCGTCAGAAAGTAGGAAAAGACTAGATACTTTGAATCTGCAAGGACGAAGCGCTCAGTTGAATTCTGATAGTAAGCGACAGCGTAGACACTGGTCCCCCAAGAGGAACAGACATGAACAAACAATAAATACTTACCTCATTCGCAGCGCCCTTCGATTTCAGTGAAGTTCCTTCTTGAATGAAGCAAGCATAGGCTTAGCTGTGATATGATACGTTGTGCATGCTATGAAAGAAATTCCAGACCTTCACTTAGATTAGAACGTAAAGGCATCAACTTCCTTAAACAAGCTCAGAATGCTTTTGATATACCCCATACTGCTGCAGATACCAAAAAAAGTAGTCGACTCACACACTAGGTAGCTTACATACTTGGACCCATTGACTCCGGGGCAGCAAGATAAAATAATTATTCTTTCTTGATCGATGACGCATTGATTGAGTTCAATTACTCATCCAATGACGTCACGCACTAGCTAGCAAAGAAACGGAAATAAGACCATCGACGACAAGAAGGAAGAACAATTTTTAGCTGTGCGCATGATCAACAAAAACCGAGCATGAAGATGGAAAAACGAGTATGAAAGTTATACGATCTATAAAATATGGCTTCTTTCAAGAAGCTCATGATCGATGAAAGAAAGTTCTTCTCTCTTTTCCTAGAGGGATCCGCTGCTTGCTTCGCTCACGTCACCGTGTGTTCCAGACTCACTGAGTCTTCAGTTGTGAATTTGTTGTTGTATCGCGGGATCCAAGCCATCCGGCCCCCACGGTAAGGGACCTTTTTATGTCGAAAGGGTCCTGAGAGCATCAATCGAATTAGAATAGGTGCGCTGCGTCCTGCTCCAGCGCGTATCGTTTGGATTCGAATCGATCCGACCGACTCGTTAGAGGAAAAAGTACATAATTCAAATTGTGCAGACTTCCTCGTCAATAAAACAATTTCTCGAGTCAAATGGTGCGCACGATGGAGCCACAGACTAAGTAATATATTAAATATAAAACGGACATGATCACGATGAGTGTAGATCTGCCTCCAGAGAGACGCTACGTACTCGGTTCACTTCGCTCCAGAAAAACAGCGAGTGAGTATGTGAGTGTCGCAAAACCTAAGCACCGCGATCGATCCATCCTCGATGGTATTCCAGTGACTTCAGTCAAGCACTAAAATGGTCGCAGGAGGAACGCCGAGGTGACCTAGCTACAATCAACATAAGAAAACCAATGGGAGCTAATCAATACTGATAACAAAAACAAGGCAAGGTAATATAAATGGGCTATGAAATAATAGCTAGACTGCTGGCTCTTCTTGTCTAGTTCGCGGGACTGCAGATACATAGGTGCCGACTTTGTTTAGTTTTATGCTTGAGCGAGGACCTTGGAGCTTCACCTGCCTCATCCGTAACCATAACAGTCAAGTGATGAAGTTTGTTACTTAGCATCAGGATGGCGCTTCGCTTATGCATCACTCAGCCGCAGCAGCTGCTTTTTTTGTTGTCGAGCGACGATGGATCTAGCTGTCTCCTTGGTTTGATGGGTCGCACCGTGCAGATGGTAGTGAACCACGAGGCCCACTACCTGGCTTCCACTCCTGGCAACTGTTTCGACGCAGGAGCCCGAGAGCAACACGGCACGCCACTTACTGGGACAAGCATTCTCCACGCCTCTGCGTGACCTCCATCAACAGCAATCCATAAAATACGTAGGCACACGCCTACCGATCTCGCATCCGAACGCCCTTCCGTTGGGGTCGCTGCGTCGTCTACACAGTGGGCCGACTGACTCATGTGTGAGCCCGAACCCTTTCTAACTAATTAATAAATACGTAGCTACTTTCTTACAATGAACAAACTGGCTTCCTCCCTATGAGTGTATTTATGAACTCAAACAATTCAACGCGAAGAAAAGAAGGCTGGCAACCTCTCTGGCCCTCCCCGCGATCGCGTAGACCCGTGTCGCATTGTTGGCCATTGGTTTCACCTAGTTATGAAATTTCAAACAGACGCGAAAAGCGTGGCCCGCTACAAGCTGGCTAGGACATAGCAAACAGAACGAAGGAACGCACGAAACAAAAGACCGGCGCCCCTTGCGTTGTTTTGCTTGGTAGCAAGCAAGCTATGTATGTAAGTATGCAACTTGGTAGCGACCGCGGTACTCAGTGGGTGTATGGATGCAGCCTGCGCCGAGTATCGTCGGATATGTCTAAGAAACAAACAAAGCCGGCTGGCTGGCTCCGACTCTTTCCCTAGTCTGTCAATCTGTCCGAGAAATACAACGGCACGCAAGTAGCCGCAGGAAATTTGGTAGGTCTGACGCGTTTGCGTTTCCGTTTATTACTTGCGACAGCAGAAAGCCTGTGGCGCGATTTTCTCTCTCTTCCCGAGTTGCATTTCCAAAGTCAAAAAATAAGCTTTTTTGTAAATTCACTTTTCAAGAAATCAGCCGGTTAGGGGCGCAAGTCTCTTTGTGGTAGTTAAGCTTTGCAACAGACTCCTTGGCTTAGTTCAAGTAGGCCTGGATAAGAATTAAGTAGTAGCGAGGACTACTGGGTAGTGAGACCTCCGAGGGAGGGAAGCGCCACGAACAGTAGGAAATGAACAACGTGAGGCACTAGATCAGTCGTTCTGTGGTTCAGACGAGCAATCTAGGGGAAGTTATTCAAGAAAGAAAGGCTCATGGAAGGTTTGGCCAAATGAGCTGCCTACGATAGAATTGGTCGGGTCCTGAATCTCGAGGGGGAGCCCTGGAGTAGTAAGGATAGGATGATCTAGGCCAGGTGACTAAAGGTTGCGAGACCTTAGCAAAGCCTTTGGTGGTTTTGAGACATGAAAGAAGAATAGAGCTGTTGGCATCTGCGAGGATACCAGGCGAACTTCCTGGAGACGGGAAGGGGCTAGGGCTCACTCGGTATTTGGGCACCTTCGCTGTAATGGTGATAGGAATATAAGTACCACCGGGCGGAGCTCTTAAAAGGATGGCTCCGACGCCTCACTGCGTAGAGGGGGCAGTGTAGGACCTGGCCCGGGTGTAAACAGGGCGGCCCTTCGTGAAGAAGTGCGCCAATAACTCCAAGGAACAAATGTTGAGTGACTAAATACCCTAGGCGGCTGCTGCCGAGATCTACCCGGTAGGGCGGCTGTCATTATTAGAACTAGAGGACTTGGAGAATCAGCAAGAGACTCCGACTGCAAGGCGGCGCTGTGATCAACACTTAGGTGCTGCCTCAGCTACCAAGCTGTGGCGTGGGCCTCATAGGGGGGCTGATTGCGGATCAGTCTCGTTCCCCATTTTGTAAGTAGGAAAGACGCCTGAAGGTGAAAACCAGCATTGTATCTAAACCTAACATACACATACGCGCCCCGTCTTCAGACGATGGCCCCGAGCCTGCACTAAAAAAGCGACGCGAATAAGAGCGACGGCGTGTGACTTTGTGACTTTGGGCTTACTCTTTATTCGCTCTAGTCAGTCTCACTTCAACTACGCGCCCCTGTATGCTGAACGCGCTTAGGTGAATACTCCGGAGACACGCCGTCACGTGCACTGCATGGCCGCGCCGCTCCTACCAAGCTTTGGGGTCGGCTTTTCAGTTGTCGACCCTTGAACAGGTGCAGACACATGCACACACGCGCGCGCCCGCTAGAGCTTTTCGCTTGATAAGACAGGAGCAAGGTAGAAAATGCGAGAAATGCAATTGCTTGCGAACCCCTGGCAAATCAAGCCTATTGAACTCGTCCAGGATATATTACGCAGTGTGTGACGTATCCTCGCGCGTGACAGATCTGGCAAGCTGTGACGATGTGCAGAGGGTAGAGGAGGCAGCCGCGTGCTGTCCGCGTCGGCTCAACACAATGGACGAGATCGCTCGGCAAATTCGCCCTCTTCTGAGCTCCGTGGTCCTTAGGGAAAACGAAAGCTATGAAAAAAGAAAAGAGCTCGCGAAAATCCTTCTCCTACAAGGCTCATCTCGCAGCGCGCAGCCCTCCACTTTTTGCGTGGCTGCTACACAGTCTGACGCTTTTTTTGCTCCTGAGAGAGCCTCTCAGCCGGCCCGGCCTGGGCGCTCCGCCTCCCGTCGATCCGTCTTTT